CCCAAGTAGCTGGGACCATAGGCGCCCGCCACAGTAGCGGGCGCCACAATAGCGCCCGGCTATTTTTTGGTTGCAGCCATCATTGTTTTGGTGGGCCGGGGCTGGGTTTGAACCCGCCACCTTGGGTTTATGTGGCTGGTGCCTTAGCCGCTTGAGCCACAGGTGCTGAGCCTAGGCTGTCTTTTCTATGTCAGCAATATAGATTCTATTTTATTTATTTATTTATTAGCAGTTTTCAGCCGGGGCTGGGTTTGAACCCACCACCTCTGGCCGAGGGGGCCGGCACCTACTCCTTTGAGCCACAGGCACTGCTCCATTCTATGCTTTTAAAAAGCCCATATTAAGGCTGGGCGTGGTTGCTCATGCCTATAATCCTAGCACTTGAGGCTGAGGCAGGTGGATTGCTTGAGTTCAGGAGTTTGAGATCAGCCTGAGCCAAAGTGAGAACTTGTCTCTAGTAAAAACAGAAAAGCTAGTTAGGGGCTGTGTCAGGCACCTGTAGTCACAGCTATTTGGGAGACTGAGGCAGGAGGATCTCTTGAGCCCATGAGTTCGAGGTTGCTGTGAACTATGATGATGCCACAGCCCTCTATCCAGAGTGACAGAGTAAGACTGTCTCAAAAAAATAAATAAATAAATAAATAAATCAAATAAAAAGCCCATATTATTCCATTATATGGGCATATCATTATTTACCTCATCATTTTATCAATTGATATTTAGGTTGTTTCTAATTTTTTTTTCCAATGCAACAAGCACATTTGGATGTATCTTTGACTGTTTCTTTGAGCACGTATGAAGGCCAGATTCCTGTGAGTGGAAGGGTTGCCTCGTGGGGTATATGCAATTTTTATTTCAGTAGACAATGCTGAGTTGCCTCCTTAGCAGGTCCCACTAGCTAACACACTGATGGTGCAGGAGAGGTCCTGTTTCCCTTTTCCAGAACTAATGCCAGTTGTCTTTAATCTGCCAACCTTATTTGGAAAAGCTATATATGTATATGTGTATGTGTGTATACACACACACACACACACACACGTATCTCATAAAATTTACATGTCTTTGCTGGAGGTTAGGTTTTTTTCCAAATGCTTGTTGCAATTTCTATTTTTTTTTTCTTCCTTCAATTGCCTGTGTATGTCTAAAATGTCCCCTTGGTTTTGTTTTTCTAACTTTACTGCTTGGGTGGAGAGTGGGAAAGGAGGACGTGGTTATTGAAGAGGTTGTTACTACTGCCATAGTCTTTCTTCTATGCAGGGTGAGGAAAGGCAGGAGACCAGTAGGTTTAGTATGTCTGGTTTATGCTAGGGCTTAGGTTTAGAATCTTGATTTGAGAGAGAGAGAGAATGAATATGTTATGGAGAATATTCTATTTACTGATTTGCTTTTTCATTTTCTTTGTCAAGAGTCTTTGGAGGAAATCCCTCCAGCCACTCAGAATTTCATCATTCCAAAAAAGGAGATCCATACAGTTCCAGACATGGGCAAATGGAAGCGTTCTCAGGTACCAGTGATGTCTGCATTGTCAGGTCTGAACAAGGGTGAGAAACATGGGCTTAAGACAGTGGTTTTCTAGGCATGACTGGGGCTGTCTTGCCCTGAGAACTTGAGCTGTCAGAAGCTGGGGAGCAAGACAGGGAGGCTGAGTGTTCCTTCTAGAATGTTTTATACAGGTCTCAGGGCCAGCGCCAGGGTAATTCTGAAGAGTTCTGCTGCTGGTTTTCATAAACCACTGCCTACTGAATGTTATTCTGTTGACTGAAGCAAGTGTTCTCAATGGTAGAGTGGGTCACTTTGATTCTTGGCTGCAAGTAGCAGCAAGTGTGGGAGCCAGTGTGTCCAAGGGGAAAGAGGTTATCTCACGTGACCATTGGCCAGGGATGAGACTTGACCTGAAAATGCTGCTCAGCCCAAATGGTTGGCAAAAGAGACCAGCTGTACCTCCCATGTTTCTAGTACAGGCTATGGAAAGACAGACTGAGAAAAAGAAAGTCAATTTCAAATTCTCAGGGAAGGCTTTGGGCCCAGTTCCTGTCAGGCACCTACCTCTTTGGTCATCTGGGCTAGAGAGTAGTGCTTATACAGAGGGCTGGCAGGTTCTCTGTGAGGACTCTGCTGTGCTGACATTGCTTTGGCTTCCAGGCCTTTTCCTCACTGGGGTTTGAGGCCATCCAACCCTGTCTGGTTCCTCTTTCACAAGCCTGCCCTCTGCATATTTGGAGATGGTTATCATGTTTTCCCTAGGATAAAGAGTCCCTTTAGCTTAGTGACAGCTCAGTCCTCCAGCTGCTCAAGGGCATGGTCTGAGTCCCCTCCTTATCCTGGTTGCTTTACCTCAGGGTTTCCCAACCGCAGCACTGTGGACATTTTGGGGGTGGATTGTTCTTTGTTGGAGGAGGCTGGCATGTGCATTGTAGGGTGCTTGGTAACATCTCTGGTTTCTACCTACTAGGTACCTGTAATATCCTGTCCCTCAGCTGTCACAACCCAGAATGCCTCCAGGTGTTGTTAGATATCCTCTGGGAGCCCAGTTGAGAACCACTGCTCTACCCTGAACCTGTTTGTCTGAATCCAGATGTGACACTTCCCCTTGCTGCTGTCTATCTTTGTATTCCAGTGTACTTTGCAGATGGGAATGATTGTGAACACTGGCTACCAATAGGACAAGGGCTCAGATTTGCCCTGGACTGGAAGGGGTGCTCTTGATAACCCACTTGTGCTGTTGGGTGTCATATCATGGGCTGGCAGGAGGATCCTGGTAGAGGAATGCTCCCTTCTAGATATTAAGTGGTTGGTTCTCAGGGCTCGTCTTAGGGATTATTGTGGACATCCCAGCGTCCATATGGCTTGGATAAGGTGGAAGGCAGAGAATGGGAGGAAAACGGGATGAAAAAAAAGAGTGAACAGGAATCACTTGCTCTCAGCAACTGGATCTCAAGGGGCCTATACATCAGTGCTTTCTTATCCCTGTGCCACGTGTAACTATAGCCTAGCAGAAAATAGCATGTCCAGTTGACACCTGGGGATAGGTGTGCTGGGAGACTTCCCTTTGGGCAGAAAACAGCTCTTCTCCTGGGAGCAGGCACCCATTCTACAGTCAGACAACTTGGCCAGTCTATGGTGGGAAAGACATCTGGAAGATTACTGGGGGAGGGCCCCTGATAATACTCCTTGAAGTCCTCCTGGTTATATGGCACAGTGGCAGGCATGCTTTTAGCCATTTAGCTTTGGGGTTAGACTTGCTGGGCCTTAGCTCCATGTCTAATGAGATCTTAGTCTTTGGAAGACCTTGGGTAACTCAGTTCTCTTGGTTTTCTCATCTGCAAAATGCAGACAGCAATAGTGTCTACTTCATGGGGTTGGGTAAAGTAGTGAGTATTACTAAATACTTGTTGGAGGTCAGGGTGTTAACTGTGGTCACTAGCTTGCCAGCTTTTTTGGAGGGTAAGGGTTGGGTGTTGACATTATCTTTGTACTTATCCTCCTACTGGGTTGGAGCCAGAGGCAGGTCTCTGGTAAGTGAGTGGAGCTAGGGGATGTGCAGGGGGTCTGCCCCTCTTTCTCCCTCCTCACTGTCCCCTTTGTTTGGTAGGCATACGCTGACTACATTGGATTCATCCTCACCCTCAACGAAGGCGTGAAGGGGAAGAAGCTGACCTTCGAGTACAAAGTCTCTGAGGTAGGCATAGGAGGAGCCTGTTGCAGCTGCAGCCGCCTTTCCCAAATAGCTCCAGAGAGTCACATGGGCTCAGTGCCCACCACTAGGCCAGTGCAGAAAATAAGATCACTCAAACACACATGCATTTTACATTTTGATGTCTATTCTTTCTTTCTTTTTTTTTTTTTAGAGACAGAGTCTCACTTTGTCACCCTCGGTAGTGTGCTGTGGCATCATAGCTCACAGCAACCTCCAACTCCTGGGCTTAGGCAGTTCTCTTGCCTCAGCCTCCTGAGTATCTGGGACTACAGGCACCCACCACAATGCCTGGCTATTTTTTTTTTTTTTTTTTGCAGTTTGGCCAGGCCCAGGTTTGAACCCTTGCTGTATGGGGACGGTGCCCTACCTACTGAGCCACAGGTGCCACCCAATTCTCTAAATATTATTCTTTTTTATTATTAAATCATAGCTGTGTACATTAATGCAG